TATGCACTATTAGATTTTGAAAGACTTCCATAGCAGAATGACCCATAAGCACCTTCGGGAAATCTTTTCTCTTGCCTATAATAGCACTATCAAAATCGCCTTAAACCAGCGACTTCTAGGTAGATTATGAAATGTTGCTGTACGTATCTGAGCTGGCTCACGAAATGTAATATCCAGAAGGCACTTGACGGGTATTCTATCCTATAAATAATCTTTCATGTAATTTAACTCAGTTTAGTTTCAGAGGTTTCAGTACATATTTGAGTCTTTCTTAGAGTTTGCCATAACTCACAATAGTGAAATTTAATTGCCAAAGATTTCAGTGAGAGAGTTTATACTCTGGAAAAATGAAGTATATTACAGATATCCTTCCCTTAAGATACTTTTGAATATATTACATTGTGATCTTAAAGGAAACAAACCTGAAGGAGGTACCAGCCAGCTCTAGGAATCTGAAGGGTGGGTATGAGGTCATTTTCAGAACGAAGACCAGTCATGTAGAACTGGAATTTACAAGTCACACTCTTAGCCAACGGAAAAACTCTGGCAGTAAGGGGAAGCAGGACAAATTCTGAAATCCTCCAATATGTAGTCTTGTGGAAGAACACTTTTATAGCTGACACACCACAGGCCCAGTCAATCAGGGAGCACATTTCCAGAAGTTTTCAGTCGTGCCTATTGAATTCATTTTAGGTGAAGATATTCTAACTTCATAGTAGGAACTAATGGCAAAGTGGAATTAACTTTACAGACTATTAAAATAATAAAACCTTGTTAGAGAAAATTTATGTCCATACTTTGAAAAATAATGGCAAATATGATCATTTAAAAATACATAGGTATTTTTTCGAAAACAAAATAAAAAACATGGACTCTTCAGTATCTTAAAAATAATCTGATATGCTAACATAAGAATTATTTCACCCTCCAACTTCCTGAAAATGCTTAATTTCAGGGAAGAAATTACCATATTCTGACATTTTAGTATTGGTTGGCTCCAAACATAATTTCATGCTTTATTCCCTTACTTAAAAACAAAACAAAAATTTGTTTTCTTTAGCTGTCTTTTTGGTTAAAAGCAAACAGTTTTTGGCCTTTCCAAATGCCACAGCTATTCAGGCAGATGCTATTTCTGCAGTTTTTGCTATTTGTTGGAGTGTCTTGGTCATTCAGAGTATTACAGTTTGAGTGGAGAATTAATCTTATCATGGGATTTTTTTTTTTTCTTGAACAAATTGAAACAAAATCCCAGCAAATCATTATGCTTTGTAATTTCCAGTACCACCTCTAAGATCTTTGCAATTATGCCATCCTTACTTAAGTTCACCTCTGATAAGTAATGCAAAGCTTCCAAAGCAAATTTTGAGCTATTTTGTTCATATATGCCTTTTTAAAGATACATTAACTTTTATTTCATTGCTGTAGTAGAAGTTACACCAAAAGACCTTTGCGGTGGCTTGATGTATATAAGAGGAAGTATACTGTAGTCATTATAAGTTTACTTTTTCTTGTTATTTTTGAATGGCCCTTAACGCACATTCATTGAGTCAGGACCTAAATGCAACCTATAAACCATTCTCTAAACAAGATTGCAACTTATCCTTTAACTCTCTGTCCCCAACTAAGAAAGAGACTAAATAGTGGATACTCAAAGCTGTTTGATCAAATCAAGACTATGTATTCTTCCCATTCAGAGTAATCACATTTGTTAATTTACAGTTATCAATGATATTAGTACATGCATTAAAAGCAAGGGCTATATCTCTCATGGTAGGGGGAAGTTCAGAATTAAAGTCTGAATAAAAGTAGTCAAAATGTGGAGCCGAATAGACTTACTGTAAAGTTACTTGCATAATCAAATGGAAACACGCCAGCATAAGGAAACGCATCTGGGCTTTCCCTGAATTCCTGAAAGGTGTTGTAGACGCTAAATGACTGTGATCTTGGCTTTGGTGGCTGTTCCTTCTCCTTCCTTTCACTCGTCACTTCCCTCTGTGCACAGTTATCATCCTCCTTTATTGGTGTCCCCATCCTTCTTGAGAGTCTCATTCCAGGCTTCAAATCTGGTAACTGAAGCAGAGGAGGCTCACACTTATGGCACAGATTAAGTGCTGACTTTTATCGGTGGTTGTTGCTTGGACCAAACCAGCAAGTAACTTCTCAAAGTTATCATCAGAGGACTTCTTCATGCTTTTAAAATGCTCCGTGTGCCTTATCTAAGAAAATGTTTTAAAAAGTGTTTATTTTCTCTTTGAACCAACCTATTCCATGTTGTTATGTTCTTTAAATCTCCTCTCTCTTCTAATTCAGTGTTTATTTTTAAAAGTTTTCTTTGTTGAAATGGAATTCACTCCCTCTATATATACATTTTTTGAATTGGACTTTCATTCTGTCACCCAGGCTGGAGTGCAGTGGCATACTCATAGCCACTGCAGCCTCAACCTGCTGGACTCAGGTGATCCTTTTGCCTCAGTCTTCCTACTAGCTGGAAGCACAGGCACACACCACCATTCCTAGCTGATTTTTTGATTTATTGTAGAGACATGGTCTTGCCAAGTTACCCAGGCTGGTTTCGAACCTGTGGGCTCAGGCAGTCCTCTTGCCTCAGCCTCCCAAAGTGTTGAGATTATAGGTGTGAGCCACTGCACCCAGCTTAAGTCACTCTGTATTTTTGTTTTGATGTTAGTTCTTAGCTTGGAATATAAACTTTTACCTAATCAGACAATTGCATATCTTCAGTTAGGACCAAATTCTGACAGACGTTGGCTTTGACAGCTCAATCACAGGCCATGTAAGTCTTGTTGGAAAGCGTTTGGGGCATTCTTGCATCGAGAGGGATCCAATGTCATGTCTACTGGGAACCATGTAGTCAGAAACAATGGACACCTTATCCTGTAAGACCTGGTTACTGAGTTCTAGTAATTTTTTTTATTTTTTGAGTCAGAGTCTCACTCTGGCACCCAGGCTGGAGGGCAGTGGCACACTCCCGGCCACCACAGCCTTGACCTGCTGGGCTTGGGTGATCCTTCCACCTTGGCCTTCCAAGTAGCTGGAACTACTGGCACGTGCCATCATGCCCAGCTAATTTTTTTGATTTATTGTAGAGATGAGGTCTCACCAAGTTGCCCAGGGTAGTCTTGAACCTGCAGGCTCAGGCAGTCCTCTCACCTCAGCCTCCCAAAGTGCTGGGATTATAGGCATGAGCCACCACACCTGGCCTGTAATTTTTTTTGAATGTTTCTTTTAGGATTACTACCAGATCAGGGTGCTATGACCTTGGGTCATTGTCACTCCTGTAGCGGTTTTGCATTTGAGATCACATCGATCTCTACTATCTGATTTGATCTTCATAAAAGCCTGGTGAGACTTCATTTTACCAATGAATAAACCATTGCCCAGAAAACTAGGGAACTTGTCCAAGGTCATGTGCTTGGGAAGGCCAAGTCTGGAACCCTAATTTTCAATTATCTCTTCTTACCATCACATTTGTGTTCTCCCTCATAAAACCTTCAAAAATGTTATTGTGGCATCCATGTATGTATTTTTGAAATTTACTTAAATCCTGAGAAAGGCATGGTTGGAACAAGTCACAATTTGCCAGGTGAGAAGATAGGGGTTTCATTAAACTCTTACCATCTGTACATGTTCAGTGTCATGTATATGTTCTTTTTTGTTTTTGTTTTTGAAACCCTGGTTCAGTTGTTTTTATGTGAATTCTTAATCTTAATAAAACAAGAACTTGGGTAAAAGTAAGGGGGCTGTGTTAGATTAGGCCTTGGTCACTTTACCTGCAATGATTAAGGCTTTTAAAGTAGTTTTACCTATTCCTGGTTACAAAGACCTATTCACACAGGAAAAAGCCATGATCAAATCTTTAATTTCAAGATGCTTTGACTTAACTTTATGAAAAATGCTCTAGAATCAGCCATTTTACAATTTGTCTTCTCTTGGTATATGTTTTACTTAATTTTGTATGTGATTAACAGGTACTTAGTAGTCTTAGTATTTTCATTAAAAGAGTCTCTGTTAAGGAGTTATTAATAATAACTTAACTATATTTATTTTAGAGGCAGTTTTTGAAGCTACAGTCTGTATGTAGAACTCTTTTAAAATTGAATTGAAGGCCTGACATGGTGGATCACACTTATGATCCCAGCATTCTGGGAAGCCAAAGCAGGATTGCTGGAGCCCAGGAGTTTGAGACCAGCCTGGACAACATAGCAAGATCTTAGCTCTATAAAAAACAAAAAAAATCAAAACAGTCAGGTGGAGTGGTGCACACCTGTGGTCCTAGCTACTCGGGTGACTGAGATGAGAGAAGTGCTTGAGCCTAGGAGGCTAAGGCTGAGGTGAGCCGTGATCCTACCACTGCACTTCAGCCTGGGTGACAGAGCAACACCCTAACTCAAACAACAAAAAAGTATAAATTGACTGTATGGTATGTGAAGATCACCGTGGTTGGCACTATATAGATGGGAGAAAATGAAGGGTGTTTTTTTGTTTTTTGTTTTTTGCTTGCTTTTGGAATTTTACTTGACTTCAGAAAATGTTTAGCATGAACTGTCATCAAGTTTGCAAATTACACGACTTTTTTTTAGTTTTTGAATTATCTCAAGTAGCAAATATAGGTGCTTCCAGTTTTGAAGTTTTCTGCAAATTTAAAGATCCCAAAATTCCAAAGAATATTTTCTATTTTGAATTAAACTTCATACCTTTCTTAGGTCTATTCAAGCATATCAATTTTTCTGTCACCAGTCTGAGGATGAGGAAATGGAGAAATAATGATTGCCCACACCCCAGGATGCCCATCTATTGCCGACAGAGCCAGCTTAGAAGTCAGAAATCTTTCTTTTTCAGTCATTATGAATCATGCCTCCATGTTTTGAAAAGTCAGCGCTAGCTCTTGCCCCCCAACTAGAAAAGAAAAAGTGGAGGATGAAGAGGAAAAAGGAAATGAGTGTATCTTAGTGTAAATTTAAATGTGTTTCTCTCTTCCATAGGAGAGAGTTATGTGTGTGGCTCAATAGAGCCCTTCAAGAAACTGGAGTACACCAAGAACGTGAACCCCAACTGGTCGGTGAACGTCAAGACCACCTCGGCTTCTCGGGCGGTGTCTTCGCTGGCCACTGCCAAGGGGAGCCCTTCAGAGGTGCGTGAGAATAAGGATTTCATTCGGCCCAAGCTGGTCACCATCATCAGAAGTGGGGTGAAGCCACGAAAAGCTGTCAGGATTCTGCTGAACAAGAAAACGGCTCATTCCTTTGAGCAGGTTCTTACCGATATCACTGATGCCATCAAACTGGACTCGGGGGTGGTGAAACGCCTGTACACCTTGGATGGGAAACAGGTAAGAGAGCTGTTGTGGTGTGTGACTTTGACTTTTGGGCAAGTGTCAGGGAGTTGGAGACCTGAGGCGTCGGTTTCACTCAAATTGTTGGGGGAGCCCAGTGATTTAGTTAACAAATACGTCCTTGTTGACCTCAGGCCAGTCAAAGGTTTGAGTTGGGCAGGATTATTTATGGGAATACATTTTAAAAAAACTATCTTTGAAGATTAAATAATTACTCAGGGATTTCTAATTTTTTTAGTTATTATTTAACTTTATGGTTCTTTTCAGTCATCTGTTTTCAATTTTATCATATGTCTTATAGCCTCAAGCACGATTGAGATACAGAGGTAAGCTGTGATGAGTAGAGAAAAATCTAACTCATTTCTTTGGTCTAAATAGTATTTTATGATTTTATGTCTCAGTAGCGTTCACTACTGAGATTTATTTAAATTTTATAGATTTTAAAATATGTATCTAAAGATTGACATTTTCATCTGGGTGGCTTTAAGGGACATATTTCTAGAATAGAATGCATCTTATATTTAAAACATAACTCCAGAGTTTCAATGAAAGGGAGTTTTCTTTAGCTGTGGAATGAACATCAGTTGACTTGGATGGGTGGACATTTTATTGTGAGTTGGTCAAAGGAACCCAAAGCAACCATTATCTTTCAGTGTCTTGGGTGGACTTCTGTAAAGATTTGACAGAATCCTGACAGTGAACTGAATAAAAGCAAACAAAGTTGATTAAATGTCAGTGTAATGTGCTAATCATTCAGAGTTTACCATTGTCTTTTTGTTTAACATTATAATTTTTAACATATAATCTTTGTTTGAAATTTAGTGTGTGTGTGTGTGTGTGTGTGTGTGTGTGTGTGTGTGTATAGGAGTCTCACTCTGTTGCTCAGGCTGGAGTGCAGTGGCACGCTCATGGCTAACACAGCCTCCACCTGCTGGATTCCACCTTAGCCTTCCAAGTAGCTGGAACCACAGGTGCGCGCCATCACGCCCAGCTAATTTTTTGATTTATTGTAGAGACAAGGTCTCACCAAGTTGCCAGACTGGTCTCGAATCCCTGTACTCATGCAATCCTCTCGCCTCTGCCTCCGAAAGTGCTGGGATGACAGGCTTGAGCCACCGCGCCCAGCGAAATTAGTTTTTAATGTGGCTCTATCAAAATGCTTTAAAAATTTTTTGAGGAATAATTTGGCCTGCATGGATAGCACATATTAAAATCAAAACTAAATTCCTAAGTTAAAAGTTTGATCCTGTTAAACAGAAACATTCTTAAACTTAAAGTTTATCAATTAAAAATCGATGCTAATTCTAGAAAGGTTGTTAGTCATGAAAGAATGCCTCTACATTCAAAATGCTCTAAATTATAAAATCCATTAGCAAGGAAGAAAATACACCAGTTGTTCATCTATATTTATCAGTCTTTTGCTTGTCTAATATCACTTGCCCTAAGTACCATGTAAGTAAGGATTCCGAGGCATGAGATTCATAATCTTCCAGTCAAAGAGGCTGTGGTCTGAATGTCATCAGTATATCAGTGACCAGAAAGTCCACTGCTGGTCTGTGAATTATAGTAGCGATAATATGGTAAGCTTCACATGTAGACATTTAAGGCTGTTCTTTTTCTACTGGTTCTATTTCTAATGGATTACCCAACCATCTTGCACTTTTGCATTTCATGTATTGAGTTTTCTCAAGATGAGAGTCTATTTTCATAAAAAGTAAAATTTAGAATAAAGAATACATATTGATGATTCTTCCTCTTTCCCCCTCACTTTAGAATTCTGGGAGTTCCAAATCGCCACCCACTGAATCTAAAAATCCACTTTAACTACTTTGGCCAAAGTCTGCCATCAGCTGATCATTTAATTTTGTCTTCTCCAGGAATGAGTTTCTCGAATAGGTATTATGTTCTCTTTTGTTTTCTTCCTTTCTGAACTTATCAAGTGTCAGTCTTTTACAATGACTGATTTGCTATGGTTTACATGTAAATAATCCCATGTTTTAGGAAAGTATCCCAGTTTTAATGTCAAAAGATCAGGATTCAAGTCTTGGCTGAGCCACAAATTATGATTTTAGCAAAACGCTTAACAGTGCCTCCTTATTCTCATCTGTAAGACGTGGATAAAATGGTCACCTCTGTTTTACAGCATGCTTATGGATAAACTGTGATAATGCATGTGAAAGCAATTTTGGACTGTAATGGTGACAGCCTTCTTGAGCATTGTTCTAAGTGCTTTACATGTATTAGCACGTTTAGTCCTCATGACAGCTTGGTTATCATCTCCATTGAACAGATTAGGATACTAAGGCATGAGTGTGTTAAAAACATGCCCAAGACCACACAGCCGTACGTGACGGAGTGGGGCTTCGAACCCGTCTGGCTCCAGAGCTCGTGCTGGTAACCTCTGCACCACGGCAGATTATATTCAGGCGCCAGACAGATGTAAATGGGCTGCGAAAGCATGGTCAAGGGAGCCATTTGTCCAAGGCAGATGATCTGAAAGACTTCTGCTCAGGGCTTTTCTCCTGCAGTCATTCTGCTGACTGTTGCATTCAACTGTTTTTGTGTTGTTGTGTGTGTCAAGCCATCAGTTTGCCGCTGTGGCGGCTCCTCTGTGGTTGGCATGTTCTCTTCATAGCAGGTGCAGGGGAAAACTGCAGAGGATTTGGATGATAAAGTAGAACAAACATAAAGACTTATTGCTTGGGTTCCCATTGGGAACAAAGATGCTTCCTCATGGTCCCCGGGAGTCTTTAGAATAGTTTCAGCTCAAAAGAGAAATCTGCCCAGTAAGCAGTTTGTTACATAGAGTTGTTTGACCGCCCTGGCAGAGACAGAGGCCTGATAAGCCGCTGAGGATAAAGCACTTTCTTCCCAGCCATCCTGTGGAATGATGATCTGTGCCACCACCATCTTACCCTTGGTGACGTTGGGATCCGCATGCTGTCAGCAGGATGTCCCCCTAAGATCACTTGTCCTATCTCTGTTTTGTTGTTGTTGTTGTTTGTTTGTTTTTACTTGTTTAACTGAGTCCTCACATCAGCTCCATAAACAATATGGGAACTCCAATGTCCAATAAAGTATTTAAATCTATACTTTTTTTAAATTGAGAAAATGGAGTTGGGCTGGGCGTGGTGGCTCATGCCTGCAGTCCCAGCACTTTGGGAGGCTAAAATGGGAGGATTGCTTGAGGCCAGAAGTTCAAGAACAGCCTGGGTGACATAACGAGATCCCATTTCTACCAAAAAAAAAAAAAGACGAAAGTGAGCAGCATGGTGGTGTGCATCTTTAGTCCCAGCGACTCAGGAGTCTGAGGGAGGAGGATCACTTGAACCCGGGAAGTCTGGCTTCAATGAGCTATGATCACACTTCTGCACTGCAGCCTGGGCAACACAGCAAGACCCTGCCTTAAAAAGAAAGAGAGAAAGAGGGAGAGAGGGAGAGAGAGAGAGAGAATGGAATTGTTTTAAAAATGAATACCTTGAGTGCTTTGAGTAAATGGGGGTAGGAGAGATAAGCAAGCAGGATGGCTTTCAAATGGCTTCCAGGTAGCCTGCAGATCCTGCAGATGTATCCAGGGGGTGGAAACTGTTGATGCTAGGATTTTTGACAGTGACACCATGAAAATCCTAGCTTGCTGTTTCAGGTGCTACCCAGAGGAAACAGTCACTGCAGGGCACGGAGCACATCCTGTTCTTGCTTCTTTCTACCGTGACTCCTTGCTCAGTTGCCTCTTGGGTTTGTGTTAAGCCCTAACCGAAGAGTTCATCACACAGTAGTTTCTTGTGGCTTTTAGGCAGAGATAGATGGGAAGTCAACATGTTGGAAATGCTGCACCCTCTAGAAGAGATTTTGCAGGAAGCTGCATTAGGCCAAGATGAGCAGCCTATGTAGGAGGAAACCCTTTTCAGTGGTTTCAGAGGCACTGAAGCTTCAGGTAAAAGGTTGCCATAACCCTCCCTCCTCTTCCTTAGGTTTCAGGGTGACTGCTCACCATGTCACCACGCACTTTACTGGCATGGCTGGGGAGTCCAGTAAAGCACTCACCGTGCCTTTTTTTCACCGATGTATTTTCTACCTGTACCTTGATTAAGGGCTTCTGGAGAAGAAAAGAGGGTTTTCTTTTTTCTTTTTTTTTTTTTTGAGTTGGAGTCTCACTCTGTCGCCCAGACTGGAGTATAGTGGCCACTCCCGGCCACCGCAGCCTTGCCTGCTGGGCTCTGGCGATCCTTCTGCCTCAGCTTTCTGAGTAGCCAGAATTACAGGCATGTGCTACCACACCCAGCTGATTTTTTTATTTATTGTAGAGATGAGGTCTTGCTGCCAGGCGGGTCTCAAACTCGTGGGCTCAGGCAATCCACTCACCTCAGCCTCCCAAAGGTGCGGAATTACAGGCTGAGCCACCGAGCCCGGCAAGAGGGTGTTTTCTAGCTGATGGTTAAAGTCACATCCCCTGCTGGAAGTGGTGGCTCATGCCTGTAATTCCAGCATTTTGGGAGGCCAAGGAAAGAGGATCACTTGAGTCCAGGAATTCAAGACCAGCCTGGGCAACACAGAGAGACCTCTACGAAGAAAATCTAAAAATTAGCTGAGCATGGTGATATGCACCTGTAGTCCCAGCTACTCGGGAGACTGAGGCGGAAGGATCACCTTAACCCAGAAGGTTAAGACTGCAATGTTTGTGCCACTGCACTTCAGCCTGAGAGACAGAATGAGACCCCGATTAAAAAAAAAAAAAGAAAAAGAAAAAGAAATCACGCCCCCTGTCTCCATATTCAAGGGTAAGATTTGCGGGATTTAAGAGCCCACAACAAAGCCTCAACATCCAGAGTTTGGAACGGGGCAAGAGGGTGTTGGGGCTTTGCTGTGGATTCTTTTTTCACTCACCCTGCCAAGTGGCTACTCCCAGAGGCCATTTGGAATATGACTATTTTTTAAGTGATTAAAATAAGCCCCAAAGTTACCAGATATGCTACAAAGTTACCCTTGCATAACTCCTG